TGAATAGATCTAGACCACATAACATGCTCTCAACTCCTTTGAGGGTTCACTTTACAGATTGAAGCAATTTGTGTTGATGTGGTATACTTGTTTAAGTGATTATTTGATTAGTCAGAGATATGAATAAACTATGCCCCTTCATGTTAAATTAAGAAGTTATACTCCGAATTGCTAGAGTTGCAATTTATGTCAATCACATGAATCTCACTAAGACTCTATAAGAGCTTGAGAAAACTACCTCGCACTTGAAGATGAAATTTGAGATAAAAGATCTAGGTGTTAACACTCAAAATTTGCAAGTCAAACCGAGACGAATCCAGATGGACACTCGCATATTTTAAACTTAACAAACAAAGATATTTAACCCTTGGTGGGCTTAGGATGTGGACTGAGAATGACATGGGCACAATGTAAGTGGTTCACCCTACAAAATATGGGCCACGTTCACTATGTTGCATGAATTCTATTGATTGTAAGATTAAAAATAGCGCTCGGCTAGTACATCAATTTCTCTATCCCTAATCGTCTGGGCCCAACATTGGGGGTGTTTACCCCTTTTTATAGGCCTTCAATGAACCCCTATTCCTTAGGCCATTCCCAATGAGCATTTATTGTGCCATTACGTAAGCTAGCTTATTGACACTTTTTCACCTACCACCCCAACATTCGTCGGTGAAGTGATGGTTGTCCAGTAGAGTGCACGCCTGGCCAGCATAAAGTAGCATATTTCTCTCTGTCGGCCTCGATTACTCAAGCTAATTTGTCTGAGCACCACCTGGACCGCTTTGTGTCCCATCCCGAGTCCCTACTATTGACTTTGAGTCATCAAATGGTTTGAATGACATCTGAGTAGACCTTTCCCTGAAGACTTGTGCCACAGAGATGTCAGCCTGCCCATGTGTTTTTTTCGGTCAGTATTCAATGCCCAACCTGGTTGGTCGGCATTTACGCGCTCGGACATATTCCTTTCCAAGCTTCCCAAACCTTGGGCATCCTTGGTCTCTTGGGCTTCGTAGGGCTTTTTTTCCAATCCGATACTTCCTCGTGGGCCTAAAAATGCCCATCATTAACACTTGGAAAAACTCATTTATGTCTTGACCTAAAGTTCAAACATTATTTTGACTATATTATGGTTCACATATCAAACTATGGCCTGAATGTGTTACCTTTTGAGTATACCTATGATCATCTATATGCTAGATGCATATGAGACCCTTGAAGATGTTGTGGAATCCGAAGTTCTATATCTAAGTTCAACTTTGTGCTTTGGTGTACATAGCTCATTGCATCAGACATGACATATCATTATCTATTGGTAAAGAAACAACATTGTGCCTACAACCCGCTATTGAATTGGCATTAAAGACGTTTTTTGGCTACTCTGAAGGTACAACGAAGTTGGGCTTATCCATACGCACCTCGAGCGGATCCAACCCCTTGATTCTCAGAATGATGTATGCCTAGTTTATTATGCTAATGCTAGTTACTTATCAAACTTGCACAAGGAACGTTCCCAAATGGTTAAGTCTTTATCGTTAGGGATACCACGTCTTAGAGGTCTAAGATATAGACCTTAATTACGAAATCTTTGAATCATTTCAAGGCTCACCTCACCTCACTATGGCACACGTGAGAGACGTAGTCGAGCGCTTTTGTTGAGTATATTCGAAATACCTGCTATTTTTCATCCATCGTTGAGTCCCAACTACGATCCATGAAGATAATGCCACATGTATCGACTAGACGAAGACATGATACATCAACAAAGCCAACGTCAAGTGTATTACGCCTCATCACATCAACAAAGCATCACTGAAGTCAAACAATCTGATCCCATGATAACCTTGCTGACCTCTTCATGGAGTCACCGCTAAAGTCAACCTTCCAAAAGTTTGTCTTAGGAATTGGTATGCGTAATTATCCGGCCATTTACAATGCTTGTAGTTCTCATTTGAAAGTTTTTTCAAACTCAGGAAGAGTATCCAGAAGCATACTCACTTGACCTTAATTTGCTCTTCTTCCCTACGATTAGGAGCATTTTTCCACTGGGTTTTTGCTACCTGATAGCTTTTAACGAGATACTTGTCCTGGATAATACCCTTGTGTGCATTTTAGTTGCATCTTGAAGCCATTTAGTATTGACTTAATGCAATTTCTCACTTTCTTCTTTAAACTATGAATTTTTCTCACATCTTGGGTTTTTAATAGCAAATTTTTGTGTATTTTATTACCTGTGCATTCTTCCGTATGTTTTGAGACTCGCATTCGCTCATTATGCCAACTAGATGAGACGTCTTCATAAACTATTTCTACATGATTACATGAAGACATGATGCACCATTATTTGTGTATTTCCACACTCAAAAGGGAGTTTTGCAATCCTAATTTAATTAAGAATGTGATTGTGTAAATGGTTCTAAAATACGTTAGGCACTAGTCAGACAACAAGCTGGGGCCTAGCGCCTAAGCGGGGTCTAGGTGGATGCCTAGGCGGATTTAAATAAATTTGTTATATATTATATTAATATAATTAATTATTTTTTTATGTACACAATATGATGGCCTAAGAAAAAAAAAATTATCCAAATAATTCAGATGACATATATATATATATATATTATATAATATATATCTAAACTTTTAAAAGATAAAAGCCCACTTAGTGGGTGGTTGGATAATTAAAATCTATTGACCCGTGCACTACACCTCTCACATTTCCTAAGGTAGAGCCCAAATAAAGTAAAATACCCTTCCTATTAAGTCTATTCGGTTCTTCTTCTTCCTTGGCCCTTCAGAACCACAAAGTGAAATTGCAACTCACGCCGCCACGATTGAAATGTCAAATACCCCTCTCTCTCTCTCTCTCTCTCTCTCTCTCTCTCTCTCTCTCTTTGCATGTACTCTCTATTCCCTCATTTGCTCACGGACGGAAAGCTGCTGAAGCTCGCCAAAAGATCGGAAGTTGCAGATTCAGAGTTGCTGCGAGTTTGAGATTTGCAACTGCCTAGACCGCCTAGCGAGCACCTAGACCGCCACCTACATCATCTCCGCCTTAAGTGAACGTTTTGGTCGAAATCGGATCAGAACTCCGCCGTCTAGCTCCTAGGCCAATTTTTAGAACACTAGTAAATCCTAGTAACAATCTTTATATGATTCTATAATATCTTTTAGATAGTTTGTTGACTATAATGTGTTACTTGAAATGCAAAGATTTTCCCTTCTTTACCACTATAAAGAAACACACAATAGGGTGAGAAATCACATCACATAATCTATCCAGGTCTCTTTTCTCTATGCTTTATGCGCCTTTCTATCTTTCTATAATTCTTCCATTAAATAGGCCTACAACATTTCCATGACAATCACTCTTCGCATGAGGAAAATATATATGTCATTTACATTAAGAAGTCAAACTGAGAAGCTGGTGAAGAACTAGGGTATTTCTATTTCATCAAATAGATTGGTTTTGGTCAATGCAAATTCTTTGAAGCTACACATATCCCATATTTTTTTGAAGCATACTTAAATTAAGAATGAAAATTGTATCTTTAAAGTATCTTTAAAGGAAATGTCAAAAAATCTACACTCGACGATAACAGTAAAAAAAAAAAAAAATCAATATTTTCCTACCTACATGCCAATTCTTATGTGGCATGATGTGAATTGACAACATAGTGGTTGCTTTCAAATTTAACAGCGAATTCAAATCCATTTTAATTGATTAATAAATGGTTTTTTTTATCCTTTTTAAAAAATCTATTTAATACAATTATGAAAAGTAAATAATAGTAATATAGTTTGACATATCAAGTGGAGAACAAAACTTTAAAAAATAATCGAAGTGCTACATAGGCTTTCAAATTTAGATTTTATATTTATAATTTGGTATCTCCTTTAAAGATGCTCTGTCCTTCTCCTTAGTTTCCTTTTATTCCCATGAAGTTTTCAGACATCGCTTCCTTTTTAGACTGATGCTTTCATTCTTGATTTTTACAATTGAATTTTGGATGACTCATTTTGGTATTTCATGGTATTGATTTTATGATGTTTTTGCTTATTTCTTTTTTTAACAATTTTTTTTCCCTAATTTAAAAGGAAAAAATTTCGAAATGTCACATGATTTTGTACCTATTTTTCAATTTGTCATATAAAATAAAATTTTAAGCAATTTGTCTTCCGAAATCATCAATTTGTCATCTTACCCTAACTCCGTTAAGTTTTCCATCCAAAATAAGCATGTGCCTTGCACATGACTTGTGTTAGAGTTATTTTTGTCATTTTAACACCCCACTTCCTTCTATTAAGTTGCATTCGATCCAGGTGTTTAGTTTAGCATATCATGAAATCAAATTTTATATGGGCTATGTAATATGAGAAACGAGTTGAGGTTTGGTGGCAGAAATAAAGTTGTAGATGCATATACGCTGCTCGAACACAACGATTTGCATGAATACTCACAAACACAAAATTTAAGGGTTTTACTAAAGAAAAGTAAATAACTTGTAAAAAGATCTTAAATGATAGAAATAACATTGAACACAAGTCATGTGCGACTTATTTTGGATAGAAAACTTAACGAAGTTAAGATGAGATGACAAATTGATGATTTCAAAAAGTTGATATGGCAAATTGCTTAAAATTTTAGTTTATATGACAAAATAAAAAAGGTGTACAAGTTCATATGACAATACAAAAAATTTTCCAATTTAAAAAGAACTCGCTCTAAGAAAAAAAACCAACTTTCTGAGTGCACGTATCCGATTTAATTGTTTGGCCTTAAGGAAGAAAAGAATCCAGAAAGATATGGTAATCTTGCAAACATGATGTGCACGTTAAGGAAAGAAAAGAACGTACCAAGCTTGTTAGGTAAGTACGTACAAGTATCATGGAAATTAAACTGAAACCCAACATCAAAATAAAGTTTTTCACAAAGAAAATGACCACCCTATTGGATCAAAAATAATAAATAAAAATTGACCGGCTCTATTCCCTATTTGTGACTCAATTAATCTTATCAATTAACCATGAATATAAAATTAATTAGTACCATAAATATAGGGTGGTTATCATCACACACTCCTCTCAAATTTTTACCATCAAATCAAATAAATTGAAAAATATAGTATAACTCTCTTTCCCCCTCTCTCCTCTAACCCCCAAGATTTGTTCAAAATACGAGTTTTTGTTTCTCCGAATCTCTTCCAATGGATCTCCAACAATCTCATCAACCTCAGAAGCTCCAAAATTTCCCCTTTTCATTTCTAATCAGAACAGAACTTCGTTACGCAATCTCTTTCTTCCTTCTCCTAGTTTCTTCCTTGTTTATTCTCAGTCTCGTAACCCCATTCGACTCTCAGTTTCTATCCGATCATTTGAGTTTCTTATCCCAAATCCTACCAAAAAATAATCACAAGTTGCCTCCAGGAACTTGTGATTATTCCTACGGCAGATGGGTCCGCGACAAGACTCATCCGCTTCAGTCCTACACCGAGAACTGCCCGTTTCTGGACCCTGGCTTCAGGTGCAGCCAGAGTGGTCGAAAAGATGAAGGTTATCGGAGATGGCGGTGGCAACCGGCTGGCTGTGATGTTTTGAGGTGAGTTTGTAGTGTAGTTTTCGGAAGGCTTGGTTTTGAATGATACTGCACACTGCCATGCATACATTTTAGGTTAAACCCTTGAAACCATATAACCATTAGGAGTAGAATAGTCCTTAGAACTGAACGTAAAAGTAACTGTACTAGGACATTTTTGTGATTTAACTTTAAAATGTACATTTTTTCGAGTGCGGGTTTCTATTTCATGTGGTAGAGCACTTACTCTCGCACTCGTAACAAAAGTTCGATTTTTGCTCTCTACCCTAAATTAAAGAGTGAAAGATTTTGAGCTGCTATAGTGCACTCATTGGTGTTACGAGATGTACAAGAAGAGCTAATAAAGCAAATGATGTCCTAATCTAGTAGTTTAAGAGATTGATTTCAAAGGTTAATTAGTGCTTAATAGAAATTAGTGATAATTTGATGGACGGAGAAAATCAAGGAACCTAATCAAAGAGATTTTCTTCTTCCTTCCCATGATCTCAGATTTAACGCAAGCGACTTCTTGGAAAGAAGCAGAAACGGACGGATAGTGTTTGCCGGTGACTCCATCGGAAGGAACCAGTGGGAATCCATGCTATGCATGCTTGCAGAAGGGGCGTCCAACAAGTCCAGAATCTATGAAGTGAATGGGAACCCCATAACAAAACACAAGGGTTTTCTGTCGATGCGGTTCCAGGACTACAACCTCACAGTTGAATATTATAGGGCACCCTTCCTTGTGGTTGTAGGACACCCACCCAAAAATTCACCAAACCAGGTCAGGACCACAGTTAAGCTCGATCAATTCCATTGGTACTCCAAACGCTGGGTTGGAGCAGATGTTCTAGTTTTCAGTGCAGGGCACTGGTGGAACGAAGGCAAAACAGCAAAGATGTACAACACTAGCTAGTTCCTTAAACTCGCTCCTGTGTTTCCAGTCTAGATATTTGACATGTTATGTTGTTAGATTATTAATCTTCCACACATCTAAAAAGGGTTGCACCTTATCAGTGATCTAGATTAACAATTTAACAACATAACAAGTGAAACCGTTAATTTACTCATTTTTCGTTATCTCTTCACAACTGGCCGTCTTGTGTTTCAGGGGCTGCTACTTTGAGGAAGACGGCAAAGTGAATTTGACAATGGGAGCGATGGAAGCATTCAGGAGGTCTATACAAACCTGGAAATCTTGGGTGCTCAAGAATTTAGACCCTCGAAGGACTCGGGTTTTCTTCCGAAGCTTCTCTCCGGTGCATTACAGGCAAGTATCAACAGCTTTCTGACTATGAAAACTTCCAATTACATACTTCAAACCAAAAGAATGATAGGCAATTAGTGTAACTTGGTGAGCTTACAACTTGCTGTTCCTTAATAGTTGCTGCCAAACATGGCGTAAAAGTAAGGAATTGATGGTTAATGAATCGATGAGGTTTTAACATGCGAAGTTGCAGGAACGGCACATGGAATGAAGGTTGTGGGTGTGATACCTATTCGGAGCCAGAAACAGACTACAAAAATCTTGCAGCTGACCCAGTGAATAATCTCTACATTTCTGAATCAATCAAACAGTTGGAATATGAAAACTGGAAGGTCCAGTTCTTAAACATCACGTATCTAACAGACCTCAGGAAGGATGGTCACCCCTCAAAGTATCGTGAGCCAGGAACTCCGGCTGATGCTCCACAAGACTGCAGCCACTGGTGCTTACCCGGAGTGCCTGACACATGGAATGAACTTATTTACGCTACTCTACTGGCAAAAGGATTCAGAACCAAGTAAAGAAAATGTTGGCATACCTCAGATGTGAGAATTTATTTACGGACAACTGTACATAATCAGCATTGGCTTCTATTCAGGCTAGTTCCTCCACATTTTCGTTGGAACTGTCTTCACTGCTTTCCATTTCCTTCAGTTTCTCAACCTGCCTCAAGAGATTCAACCTTTCTGGACCATATGTTGATGGTATCTGTCAAAGAAACATTAGCACGTTAACAAACACAAGTTTGGTTCTCATGAAGAGTGAAGGAAATGAAACTCTTGGAACTAAAAGCCACATACCAGAGCTGGTACATATCTCTGAATAGCAGCCAACATTGCTGCATGTCCAACCGCAGTGACCTGCAAGACACAAGTTATCTCTATGTTAAGTTCCAATAGGGTTTAGAAAAAGTGTTTGGCAAAACAGCGAAATTGTTCAATTTTTAATTCAAGGTACAAATTCATTTTTATTTCTTTTCTTGGCTTGAAGATACTTAAAGCCAATTATGAACCCCCTTCCACCATATCAAAGGAACGGCATATACGTTATTCACTTGTAATGGCACAACAATGCAACATAAACAGAATATCTGAAGCACACCTTGTTATATGACCATAAACCCCCTCAAATGATAAACCCACATTAGCTGGATGAAGAACTATGATGAGAATCCTATCATTTTATAAGTTTTTTGGCCAGAATAAAATATACGAGGAAGAATTCTCACTGGAAGAAGCATTAAAACACCGATAGGAACAACTGATGCTAAGTCGGTCAGAGTTCTCTGTAGAACTTTCTTTTCTTTTTCTGTCAGTTCATCTCCAATCAAGACCCTTCTAAGCAACCCCATAGCAGCACCAACGTCAATAGCTAGCAATTGAGTTCCTTGCCACACATCCTGCTCATCAATTTTGAGATGAAACAAAAAAGAAAATTAATGAAAAGGAAATTACGAGCTGTGGAGAAGTCCTCCTATATTAAAAGTAAGAGTCGACATCCTGCTCATAATTTAGTACAAAAAATAATGAAGACGTCCACAGGCCATTAATAGATATCCTATATCCTAATTGGTTCGGTGGCAACTAAAATATGCGGTTAAAGGAGGCGTGGTCCTCATTCTGAATGATTTTCTAGTCAAAGTATTAAACAATTGGAGCAAAACCAACATTGAAGTTCCTTTTCCCCCCTAATTTTCTTGGCCCAAGTGTAGGTCAACAATGTCTAACGAGTTAACAACGGTCACCATTTTTCATACCGTGCTGGCTTGTTTTAGCTTGTCAATCGATTTTTCAATGACATTCTCTTTCTTCTGAACCCGGAGTAGTTGAGCAGCTCCGACATCATCCTCATAGTTAGGAATATCATCAACAGACTTAAGATCCTGATTAAAAAAATCCATAGCAACATAAAAATTTCTTAAACCAGTAAGAGTTCAAATGACAGTCTGAAGTAGGAATTGTTTACTGGTCAATTTCTTTCTTTTTGTTTTCTCCTGAATAATATGGTATCAAGTTGTACGCAGTGTGAGATTTTACCTCCTCATTTTCTGATTGATCAGCACTCCTTTGCACCCGTTTTTCAAGTTCTATCAGCTCATTCTGTAAAAGTTCAAAACGCTGGATCTTATTTGATTCTGGCTCTTCAAATTCAATACTTGAAGCACTCTGCTCAATAAGTTCATTATCCTGTATTAAAGGATGCAAACATTAAGCAACTTGGTTTGAGATATTGCACATTTCCAATTTCCAACAACAAAATAGATACATGCTCCTGAATCAAGTGAGGCAATAGCAACAGGGAACAATCTCATAAATGAGAAAGCCAAAAAGTCAGTTATAAAGGATTCTCGGCACTCACAAGCTAAGCACATGCCTTTATGGGGCTTTTTTTTCATGCCACAGCTATTCTATCTTCCTATTAAGGGACAACAAGACAGACTAGGAAACCACAAGTCAATAATTGAAACCTAACTTCTCAACCGCATTTTTATAAGTACTACAAAAGGAAGGAACACAAAATAATATAACACAGGGCTACTAAGAGAACCAGCTACGAACCCAAAGTATTTATCATGCTAATGCAAAGAAACACTGCTAGTGGCAAATTCAACCTGAGTGTTCTATTAATGACCTTGCCCTAACCGAAAAAAACATGTCGGAGTAACATTAAGTGTTGTTAACTCTTGGTCAAAACAGATCTAAATTTGAGCCAGCTGCATACACAATCTTATTTTAGATACAAAAGTTCCAGTGAAAAGTTAATACATTTGGATATTAGATAGCGCAATACTATGTAAAAGTCAATGAAATCCTTGTGAAGATGGGCCATACAGATTGATCCCCAATCAACTCATGATTGGGCTTTCCAGTTGGACAGCGCATTAAGGAGCTCCACAAACTGCGAGCGTTACTGACAGCTCTAGAAATAATTTTGAAATGAGATGTGCTTATCAGAATACAACCAAAAGGCAAAAAAGAGCTAAGTCATATGGAATAATAAAAGCTTCATAATATGTAAGAACTTAAGCTTCATACCTATTGCCTCCATTTTTTCTACTTTTCCTTTTAAAGAACTGTTGCTGCTTGTTAGTAGAAGACTGGGAGCGATTACCTTCCTGGATGACAAGAACGAAAGTACAACTAATACAAGTCAGAATTCACAAAATCCAATGAGGGTAAAATGTCTCATAAATAAATATACGAGTGAACCTAAGAATGGAGCTTAGCATACGAGAAATCTACAATTATAATGCATGGTCTGAACAGAGCAACTTATAAGATACAGTAGGTAAATTTGAGAGGAAGCCAAACAACATAATCTAAAAATGCAGGAAAGCCCCATCACAATTGGTGGTTTACATCCTTGAGTTATCTCTCAAATACATTCACCTATAACTATAAGATACTTTGTGGCTAATTATTAACGTATATCTTCCATGCCAACATCAAGGAGCCAAGACATCTATCTGTTATAGAAAAAGATGAAGAAAAAAAAAATGTCCAATAATGAACATGTACTTTGACATCTATACGTAGAAAATCTGAATAAATTGAAAAGAAAAAAAAAACGAAAAAACCCTGCAAAGTTCACTAACTATTAATTAATAAATTGGTTGAATGGTGTGTTGGTGATCAAAACATTACAATCATCATATGAACAAAATAAAAAATAAAAAAAAAAAAAAAACACCTGCTGAAGAGAAGCTGCTTTTGCTCGGAAAGATGCCTCCAGAAATTCAGCCTCTTTTTTTAGCTTCCTTATCTTCTCAAGGTCAGAACAAGCAGCTTTTATATGCTCTTTTCCTGAGTTCGAACTTGACACATGTAAATCCTGAAGCAACTTTTCTAGTCTTATCACGGCTTCTTCAACACTCTCCAAGGCCTGACACCAAATGCCAATTCCACAAAACGATCAGAGGCATTCAACAAGTTCCTATGTGGCCCCAGTACTATCCCAAATATTGCCCAACAAAAGGACTGTTAAATAGCTTTCGTTTGAGGTGCTAAGTATTGAAAGGAATGAGTAACCCAAAAGGACCATTTATGCATGAGTAACCCAAAAGGGTATATGGAGAAATAGTGGGGTAAAAACTGACAAAAAATTGCATAATTATACTGCACTTTGCAATGAACACAACATAAAGGGGAATAGGCGCACCTTGTCAAAAGTATCCAATTCTTTCCCAGCTAGTGGATGAGTTCTAGGCCTAGTCCTCTCAGCAATGTTATTGCTATAGCTTTTCATATTTTCATTCCTGCATCGCAGTTTAAAAGGGGGGTGTGTGTGTGTGTTAGAGAGAGAGAGAGAGAGAGAGAGATGATATTGCTATATTCATTAACTTACTTTAATATACCGCGTTCTTCCATACACTCCACCAATTTGTTGTGCCTAACCATTGAAGACAGAAAAAAACCCATTTTTCAAAAAAAATGAAGCCATTTACGGTTCAATCACTATGCACCACATGTTTTGCATACCCTCTAGACAAGAATCTCGCTGCCTTAACATTAGAAGGGTCCTCCAGCCATTTACTGTATTTGATAAAACTCTGCATCCACTGAAAACATACTTCTAAGGCTTGGGGAATTGCTTCATAATTGGGAGGTCCTTCCCATTTACTTTTATGTCCATGTGATTGTTTTGGGGTGCCTGAAATGCCTGGATAAAATGGAAGCCAGTCTAGCTCTTCACAGACTACCTGTGGAATTTACGCATCATTAGATATCGTATTTAAACCACAAAAGAGTATCCACAAGATAGTTATGACAACACATGCTAACCTCTACATACAATTGATAAGAACTTATTGATGAAAGCTGAGGATAGTATAAGATGCTGCCCCCAATCAAGAACCTGCACATATTGAAAATATTAAATCCACAAGGACCACAACCAAACCAAGAAAGCACTTACAAACTTATGTATCATCTGTAAAAAAAACCAGGTATACCTAACAAAGCCTCCAATCGGTTCAGCCAACACATCAAATCCATTTGCCAATAGAAAGGACTGCGTGCTTCTACCCAAGGCAATAAAGAATCCAAATATAGCCAGATCCCTCTCCAATACCTACACTAATTCAGTATTAGCCGACAATTACAGCATCAACATAGTACAGCTTTGCAACCACATATACACAAAGGCTCACAAGCCCCAATATATATAAGTAATCATCTATTATAGATATCATAAAGATAAGGCCTTTCTTCTCACTTTTTCAAAAAGACTTAAGCAATTTCATTATCCAGTTCCTATATTAATTTCGTCCTATTTCGCCACATCTTTATATTTATTCTCCTACTATTTTGACTGGCCAACCTTCATGTCTCTTAAAGGAGCTCCTGAGTGGAGTATCAAGTATGTTCTACATATTCAATGGTTTGACCGTTAAGTCAAATGTTGCACATACCAAGCTCAACACTTATGAAAGAAATATAGTAGGAACGGCAACTTAAAACTCCATGTTCCTCTGTTACAATCTCAGATTTCCTAATTAGACAGTTCTGTCACAAAAATAGCA